TGCCATCATTTTTTTCGCTAAACATTAGTGCATCTTTTTTTAAATTTTTTGAAAGGTGACTTTGTCTTTCAAAGGGTTTGTGATTTTAACGAAAAGTTTTATTTTTCTTACATAAACACTTAAGTTCTATAAAAGTGGTTATGGTATTTTTCTGTCATCAGTAAAAGTCAGTCACCATGTCCTTACAAATCCACAGTTATATAATCATTAAATTTGACATTTTGTAGCTGTAAAAACACTCTGACTTTGGAACAATTATTCCCTGTGAAAGTAGTGTTTGACGTCATACTGTGTCATTCTGTTAAAACTCAATTTACTGTGTAATTTAACCATTCATTTGCTGTCACTATAACTTGATAATCAGTACTATGCTAAACAATCTTTTCTGTAAGGGGGCACCAAGCAAAGTCTTGGGCATTAAGGCAATGACCTTTGATGCCTCTGAAGTTCAAGCCTTGTCCTACTTACTTTATTACTTGCACATGTGCTTATGTAATGTGTTTCTATGATCAAAATAATTAATATTTTAATTATTCTTATACAACAAATACAAGTTTGTTTTTATATATGCTTCTATTATGGAACGCTTTTGTAGTGAAGCAACTAACATGGAATTTCAGACATAACATCACCTATATTAAGATTTCTTATGACTTTTCCATATATTGTCAAAAGCCATTTGTAGCAAAACAAGCTACATTTTATATTTTAAAACATTGAAATAATAGAAATTTGAAAATCGAACAGGTTCACTTGTTTGAGATACTAGAAATTCAGGCATCATAAGGGGCAATGCATATTGACTATTTGAGTAATACTTTATTTGTAGGCTGCAGCGAGACATCGGTGCTTGTATATAGTGCGACTTCAAGAGACTGAATATCTGCTGCAAGGTGGAGATCCAGAATGGTTAAAAGGAATTCATCATGTGCCGCATAAACTGAGGCATCTTAATGATCTCAACAAAAAGTTAGCTCATCGGCCGTGGCTTGTGACGAAAGATGACATCCAGGTAAGTTTATGTCAATTGTACAAAGACGGAAAACAACAGTATTTTGGATCCCTTCTATGCATGTATATTGTCGCGCGCAGTTATCTAACATGAACAAATTTTACTTTCTGTATGATGTTCTCCAAGCTAGTTTGTAATTTCAGACATTGTTTTGATAACCACGAGTTGAGTCCTGAGAGACTAGATCGGTTTCTGTAGCAACCGTGACGCTATATCCAAACGTTCGCTACATTGTTTCCCATTGCGTTCT